AAAAAAAAAAAAAAAAAAAAATAAAAAAAAATAAAAAAAAATACAATCGCAGATATCATGAAATAAAACATTCTGTGCGGAAACATAACAGAACGTATCATTATTCCGGACGTTTTTAGTGCTGAGGAAGGGTGAAAGTCATGATTCTTTGTGATAAACCATATAAAATCTAACTTATCGCACGCGTTTCTTGAGCAATCGGGAAAAAAAATATATATATGTATATATTCGTCTTCCGATACGAGATAAAAAAAAAAATAGAAACGAAATGATAGCTTGGAGTTCACTGTTCTTCGGCACAAGATAAATGTCCTAGCACCTTTCTACTCGTCCAAAACAGCTATCCTGTTCCGTCCTATATGCGTGTTCCATGACCTGGCTACGTTCTTGTTATAGGGCATCCGACTTGTTTGCAATTCACAGCGAACATGATCGTTTCTGTTCGCAAGTACAGGTGGCAGTGTATCGAATGCAAATGCTGTTCCATTTGTGGCACTTCTGACAACGATGTGAGTATTACCATTTTTCCGGGTCCCCTTACGCGGGCGAGACAAAAAACAGTCCACGTACACCTACTTCGACTATTTTGATTTTCCCTCTTTGTTACGGGAAAACAATGGTATTCGAGTACCTTCCATTCTTTTACGTTAAAATTTACGTTGTTTGCACCTTCGTCGAATATTACGTTATTTCTTTTTTAATCTTCGTTAAGATACCTTTGTACAATATATTTATTTATTTATTTTTTTCTTTTGTAAATTTTTGATTAGTTGATCGTGGATCAAAATAGTTTGAGAAAGATGTACGGAGATGTAATATCTACAATTTTAAGTTCTTTCGAAATATTACAACGTTTGCTTACGTTTTGGAAAAATGAAAAAAAAAAAAAGAGGAAAAGATAATTACTATTTGTTAATATCGAAATTTGATAATGGATCAGACTATGTCTGAACAAGTGGGTACCGTTATTGTAAAGAGGAAGAGATAATAAAGTAAAGCAACGATCGCGAACAATTATACCAGTTAGGTATCGTTGCAAGCTAATTAATTGTTTCGCGAACCAAACTAGGATCAGCTGCTGTTCTGTGACGACTGTGATCGTGGATACCACATGTATTGTCTGTCTCCACCTCTTGCGTCTCCTCCCGAGGGCTCCTGGTCTTGCCGTCTGTGCATAGCAGAGTTTCATCGCCGTGATTAAAAGTCTTTTGTCTCGTAGATAAGTGACGGATTTTATCTATTTGCTGTGGTGCAGTGGCCATTCTTGAATTAGGAGAGTATTCATAAGCTCACTTTCTCTTGTAGTATTATGATAAATGCAAATGTACTTTCAGTGACCGAAGACTCCTGTTCTCTTTTTAAGGAAGTTTATTAAGAACGTTGGCAGCATTAACGATTCCTTTTTTCTCTTTTTGGTTTAAGTTCTACTAAATAAGATGAAATATTGCGAAGTATTCGTAGTATATATGCTACGTTAGATTATCTCAGGCACTGGTGATCTCAGAAAATGAAAAGTATAATAATTACGTATTTATAATTTTAATGAGCTAGCGTTTATCAGTAGATGTATGAAGGTATAAGATTAAAGGGCTGTCTTAATGTCTGTCGAGAAGAAATGAACAGTCGCTTTAAGCTTGCCATTAAAGTTAATGAAATTAATGGAATAACCTTAGCGGTCAAGGACTCCGGCATCGGATTGTCATTGAATGTCGTCGCGTTTTGCATTGAAATAGAAAGAAAGTATTTTTTATTGATTTTAGAAAGACATGTTACATTTATAAAGATTATTACTATTCTAGAAGTTAGTTTGAGAATTGCGAACATCGGTAAATACTCTCCTAGTTCTCCAGGCCAATTTATTTTTAGCCATTGACATTCGAAGTTCGGTTGCTTTTAGGATTTCAAAACTGCTTACACTTTAAACGATTTTGGAGATCTCAAATTTTCATAATCTCTTTAGCTCCTTGCTATCAACTTGGTTTAATCCAAGATTCATGAAAGAAGCAAAAGTAAGAAAAAAACTTGATATTCTAGGAAAAACATGATATTAATAGCATCTGTTTCATAAATAGTGATAAATAGAACACTATCTGTTTATCTGTACGTATCATGATACTAAAGCTTTTACACTTAATGACACAGCCATTAGTAGCAGTATAGCTATGACATACAAACTCGCAGTACAGCAGAAAATTATATTCTATATGCCCTTTATTGTTAGCTCAGTATTTTTATATTTTATATATTGAATGTACTTAATTTAAGATACCATGGTGATATTTGGTACTCATTGATGTAACTCTTCTTTTTTATTCAGTAATTTTAAGGTCGCTTAACGACATGGAATTGTGTATTAGGTGTCATGAAAATTAGTCTATAAAGATTTTTGAGTTTGAACCAATTAATGGTGGATTTACATTTTATATTGCTTATTTTTAACACACTGTATGCAAATTTGAATAAACATTAGTATACAACTGAATCACTAACTTTAGACAGTCTTATTGTGTGCCATGAATATTTTCTGAGTGCAGGAACATAATACATAATGATAGAACTTCTTTGGGTGCTATATTTCAGGGAATAGTTCCCTTTTGAACATTTTAGGATAACTTTATAAGATTGAAAGTCATGTCTTTGACCAAGGAAAATTATATTCTATAATTATAATAAATAATATATATGTATATATATATGTATATACATATATACACATATATATATATATGTTTGCGAAAGTGTAATGTAAGGTATTCATAAGAAACAAACAATACTCAAAACAAATATAAGTTTTTTTATAAAAACAGGATTTATATAAATCAATGATTATGTGTATTAATTTTTGTATGATCCCACAAGCAAACAAATATTCTGACAAAGCATTAAACAGAGACACTTTGATTCCCATAATTTGTTATTACGTGTGTGTCAATCAACTTCTACTAAAATATCAGATAGAGGTTTTCTCTGAAGGTCAGGCACTGTAGCATCCTTTGCTGGATAACCAACTGGCAGTAGTACAACAAGCTTTTCATTAGAAGGACGTCCAAGAAGGTTGCGGATGGCAGGTCCACAGTTTAAAGGAGTAGAAGTCAGAGTTACCAAACCTGCATACTAGTTTTAAAGTTCATGTATTATTCATTCACATTATTCATAGGTATACGGTATAAGAGATTATAGTATTATAACAATATTACCTGTATAGCGGCGATGAGAATACCACAAGCAATACATGTGCTCATGTCATTGTAATAACAAATTTTTTTTTTTCCATTTGGTAAAATTCCGTAAGTTTGTTTAAACACAAGCACTAAATAAGGAGCAGTAGTCAGGTATTCTTTAATCCAATTGGTTCTGAGTGGAAGTAAATCAGTTGTCCATTTTACTCCCATTCTCTTTTTATAGTTTATTTCCTCTTCGTTTTCGACGATATAACGAATTTGTTCTTTTACATTTTGATTTGATACCACTACGAATGTCCATGGTTCTGTATGTGCAGCACTAGGCGTAGTGCCTAAAACAGACTCATATGTATAAGAAGTTTTGTGAATGTAACAACATGATATTGTACCTGCAGCTTTTATTATCTCATGTATAACTTCTTTTGGTACAGGGTCAGGACTGAAAAATCTTATACTTCTCCTAGCAGCTACTATTTTATAAAACTCAGAAGTTCGACATAGTAATTCTACTTCAGAGGGTCTCTTATATTTATAAAGGATATGTTTTAAATCTATTGGTAGAGCAGGTTCCTCGCTATCTTCTAATGTCTCTTGATCACTGTCTAAAAAGAATTTTATAATTTTTAATTTTATTATAATGTATACCTCTAATCAGTGATTATTGAAATTATCTACTATAACATAGCATAAAAGAAAATGAATTTCATAAAATATGAATTTTGTGTCTTAAATGTCATATTTTTTTAACAGTTATTATTTTAAAAATTTCTATTCTGGTAGCCATAATGTTATAGTATTATTACCTTCTAGGTGCTCCATGGTATTATTCAAAGTGTTAGAATTATGTCTATACTTTTCAATAAAAATAATCTTTTTCAATACTTTGTAAAATAGTTTTAAAAGAATATAAGATATGATACTAATTAGCACATGATACCAGTATTTCGTCCAAAATGGTAAAAGTTTAGCAAACATCTTAAACGAAAATTTAAGATTTATTTGAAGAAAACCGTTTGTTCTATTCCGTTGTTTCAATTACAGCTTACTGAAACTTATCAATGTAAAGATATGCGATGAAACAAGTAGTGGGATATATCTGACCTATAATAACTAAATTATCGCTTTTAAACAAACGATGTATCCCAGTACTCGTGTCAGAACATAGAGTTAGTTATTCATTAATTTTTCATCGATCATTTACGATACAACGAAATATTTAAGCACTTGTTTCTTAATATATACATATTATGCTTAGTAAGTTTTTCATTTTTCATAATAATTATAATTCTTATTATATGATCAATAGTTATTCGAAATTGAAAATTGTCTTTTGCACCTTTGATTATCTAGAAGAGAGTATTATCTGCAGAAGCATCTAAATACATCTTTAAGCAATATACGGAAACGATTTAATTATTCAGCGTAAAAGAGACTCAGGCTATTTAAAAAATTAATTAATATCGACGCTGGCTTAGACAATGACTTTTATTAACATCTTACTATTGTTAAAGACTTGTTATTACAAATAAAGTCACTGTTTACTTTTAATAATTTTCATTTATTTCAATCGATATTGTAATCCATTATTCGCCTCTATGTTCAATTATATTATATCGAGTAAGCGTACCCTTTCTTCCTTCTTTTCATTTTCAATAACCGTGCTCAATAATGAAAAATGATCGAGATACCTTCTTTATAGCAGCGAAAACATAAGATTATTTTATATTGCTACAGTCGGTAATCGGTCGACAATTCTGACGCACCAACCGAAAGCAGTCGGTGTTGTACATTGCGCGTTGTGAGTGCGCAGTATCGGAACGTGCGTGTCTTCGTTGTCCGTCAACACGGACGCGAGAAAACCGTGGCAATCATGTAAAAACGCGGTGTCAATGTAATTTCTCGGATTATCCATTTATTCTTCGTGATAATCAGGACAATCGGTATTCTCACCCGTACGGAAAACATGCGATTCCATCCCAACGATCGTGAGTATATCGAAGAGATCTTGTCACGCGTACATACAGACATACGTTTTGCGACGTACAAGAGGATCATCGACCCGCACATTTCGTGAAATGTGTTTTCGCTAAGGAAGATTGAGAATCTCATTGTGAGTGACATCGAAATTTAACAAGCAACAGGGACATGGAGAACGCCATGCAGCCGCCACTTCCACCGCCACCCCCACCCTCAGAAATCCTTGAGAATACCAGCACGGAACACACGGTCACCCACGTCTTGACATTTGGTACGTTACATTCTTGTTTCTCTTATGTTTTAACACGGTTTCATACAATGATAATCTCACCTATCTATGGTCCTGATAACAGACAATTGATTACTTTTTCGAATTATTGATAACGTTTTTGCAACGTAGTCACTGCATCGAGCAAGTTCCACTGATTCTATACATGACGTAAATGTATTTCGAGAAAAGTGTCTGTTCTTGCTATAATAAGAACAACAGTTTTCCATATTTTTCAGAATTGTTTGCTACTTTTAAAAGAGACCTCTTTAAAATTTCTATCTATTTTAAATGTCAGTCAGTTAATCTATAGAAAACTTTGAATTGCATTTGTAGTTGAAAGTATGTAGTTTGAAGTCAGTTGTTATGTTACAATATGTTGTTCAATGTAGAAGTGTTGCTTTAATTTTCACAGTATGAAGTTTCTTATGATAGGTAATAAACCTTGATCATTTATTGTTGTTATTTCTGTATATTAATAAATACGTAATTAATAATGAAAAGAAAACTAGGTCTTCGAGTAGGACCATAAATTGCTCTATGGAATTAAGCAGTATTATGAAAGTCATATTAGTTGGTTGAATATTACATAATTTTATTCAGAGATAAGTGTACGATAGGTTATTTTCAAACCATTACTTTTTGGTAAATTCAAGGTTATCATTAAACATTACTCGTACTTTGCTTTTGTCTTTCCTAACTCACTTTTGTATTTTTGCATAAAGTTAGTATAACATACACGATTAATGATATATGAAAGCTCTAAAAATATAACATCAGTACAAAATTTCTGATATTAACACATTGGCCTTCATTCTCTCTCTCTTTTCTGAGAATAAAGGAAGAATTTGAATACAAGGTTCCCAAAGAACAGAAATGACACGCATGTGTGAACTTCTAAATTTAGTGACTTGCCAGCCAGAAGGTGGTAGCCTTTTAAGCGAGCAATATTGGATGGTCTTTGTTGGTTGATGAAACAGAACAATGTAATCGTGGTAGTGAAATGTTTATGAGCCTTTGTTGACATATATGATAGATTTAAAATAAACTTGTTGACCTTTCTTGATTAATTTTTTGCAATCTATATTACATGTCTATTATATAACTAATTAATTGGACAATTTTCATTAATACAAAGCTGCTTTATCCTTTATTAATTGATTGGAAGTACTTTCTAATCGCTTGTTAGATGAAATAATTACTCTTATTATTGTGAACTTTTCAAAGTTATTCTTTGTACATGACTTCACTTTATACAACAGTAATAAAATTTATACAAATTAATAAAATATTTCTTTAACATTATGGAATATTTTAATATTATAAAACGGTGTTTTGTAAAAGGAATTGGATAGATTGAAATAAAATCAAGAAGAAAATATAAAACGTTACATAGCAAAATAATTTATGCATAGTAGGTTGGAGAAAGTAACACAAGTAATAATGTTGTGTCAAAATTATGAAATATAAACATTTATAATAGTTCAAGGGTACCAGATGTATAACATATGTAATAAATAAATCTTTTATCCCAGCAATTACACTTGCAAAGCTAAAATCGCAGCTGCTTTGCGAGAGTTCAAGTTTAATTAAATTTTCCATCTAAAACATATCCAATTACCTGGAATCTCCTCATTTCGTAATAAAATAACAACGTAACGAATTTGATCGCACAGATGTATTTAATAGTAACGTAATATAAAGAAATATATTCACGTGTAGGCTTCGATATGTATACGTATAGATACGGCGATTAAATATGAACAGTGTACGGTTTTATCGATTGGTTAGACGTTTTATTTATCGACGATCGATATTTATCTTCCGATGCAGGTCGCGTATTTAAATTATACAGCAATTTGTGTCAATTATATTTTCACATATTAGCAAGTCATACCTTTATGTATTTATGAATACAGTCATAAATATTACACAGTAGAACTTGTATGGTATATATTCTAATGACATAATGTATATGCATATATATATGTATCATGAATCATAAATGTCGTGTTTCTTGAAGGCGCATGTCTCTAACGTGATATTTCGAACTCTTTTCAGTACATTCCCTAACTATGTTCCTTCCTTATCTTTATATATATATATAAGAACCAATATTATCTAGCTGTTTAAATAATCTACGGAGGGGGGGGGGGGGGGGGCGTTT